TTCTCCAAACACCGTACAACACTTCCAAAAAGAAAAACAAATCTAAAACATGTTTCTTGAGTATTACACAAAATATGTTTTTCTATAACACGGGAAGATTTTAATTTTGCCTGGAGTTATTTTCTGTACACATGAACACACTATCCACATCTGAATTGTGTTCTATGAATCATTCATTAAACTCATTGTTTAGTCTGACCGTGAAAAGACCAAATTGCAAAAGTAGTTTTCTCTGCAGTAATGAGCTTTGTGTTAAAAACATCATTGTGCTTGTGTTTCCACTAGGAAAAGAGTTTATTGTGATTTATTTATGTTTTTAGACTTCAAAAAATCTCTGGACGCCTTATCAGATGCATTCAAATTGAATTAATATCTCGTTGAGCACAACATTATCCTTATAGCTCTCATGTGCTCTATTCAATGATCTACAATCCAATTCAGTACGTCTGTTTGAAGTAACAACATGAGGATCCCTCATTTACAGATTATTCACATAGAAGCAGAGAGGCTTAATAGACGAGCTGAATATTAGATCAAAAGCAATCTAGTGAATGAAAGAAAACTACAGATTCTATAAATAGGAGCCCTTCTATTTCAAATAGTACATGGTTCTACCTACTAGTTTACCATAAGGGTCCTCATTCAGACGACAAGCTCAGAGGAGCAGATGGTGTCCTGTCTGGTGTTACAGAGGTCACAGCTTAAAAATCTGAAAGACGGGTCTTTAATAAACTGCTATTGTCTCCTCCAATTTCCTCCAGCGATGAGTTTGATTAAAACAAAATAATCTAATTAAATATTGTCCTGCAATGGGAAATCTGGGTTTTGATCTGGAAATATACAATGACCAACCCCAGCAGATTACAAGAAAAACCTACAATTTGGCAGCAGTTATTATAAACAAACAACCCAAACAGTGAAGCACTGGTGAGATAAAGAGCTAACCAATCCACCAGGAGTTGTTACAAGAACAAACAGCTGGGCCAAAGTGTCAAACACACACTACTCCCCCACAAACACCATAGTGAGAGAGAGAAACTAGAGAGTCGGTAGCCCCTGAAAAATCTCTTTCATGATCCCCATTTGAAAAATGTCATTCATTATTATACAAATAACATTCAGCGTGTGAGGTTTGAATTGTGTTCTTGTTGTTGTTTACCTCACAGAAAGAAGATCTTGCTGGTTGTCTCCCATCATCTTCAGAATGAACCCAATGTGATGCCATCATTCAACTTCAAATAAAATCCTTTTATCCATGAACGCCCATATAAAAAAAAATAGCTCCAGCAGGATGCAAGTATATAGTTCCAGTTTCTCCAATTTACAGCTCCATTCTTGCTTGATTTATTAGTCCATCTGTTGAAGAGAAATAAATCACAGACATATGTTATTACTGCACATTACTGCCTATTTTTAAATGAGCTCATTGTGTATGGCGTCTATCACTGATCAAACGTTTTTTTAAACAACATGAATCAATACCCTAGTTGTTCAACAACATAATAGTAGACCACCCGTGCTTAATGATGGACAATCAGCATTATGCAACATGCTAATCTAACTTAACTGAGTATCACCTTAAAGTTGTGGACGTAGTGAAAAACAGAGAGGTGACAAACCACGACATCACCGCATTATTCACCCTACAACAATTTGAGGTTGCTGCCTTCAGCTTGAAGCACAACAACGTGGATAGACAACACTGCATAATGAATGGCCAGCAACAAGTGGACTAGTTACAGACGGGAGGCAGGGCGAAAGAGTCCGTCATATTTGAAATTAAGTTACAACAAGCATATAAGACCAGGATAATAAAGCATAAGTGACACTTTGTCATCATACGGTTTGTATTTAAATTATAAAACCATCGGTAGTGTGGTTACAGGGGATGAATTTGAAAGTCTCTTGTTTGATGGTCAACTGAGGCATGAACAGAGCGTGTCGAGCTGTTGTTCTCCAGCGACACACAAAAGTAGTTTTTTCTTTGTTACTTGTAATATAATACCGACACAAAGAAAGTTCAAAAGGCGATACGAGCCGACGTACCCACTTTCTGCCTTATACACGTTGTGAAAGATAACTTGTAAAGTGAGTAAAAACAACAACCAAACTAACTGAGGCTACAGGCTGTTAGCGGTTAGCATCCATGCTAACGGCTGGAGTTTATACAAAGTTACCTGTGTAGTTGCAAAGCGTCATTACAGGCCGGTAACAGCCGCAGCCAGTATCCATAAAGGCGACAAGAAAAAGTCAAATCCTAGCGTGGGAGTTGCAAGATGGTCAGGCGTTGTCATAATTTAATATAGTTTGAGTACAAACTGCTTCCCGGTGATTATTCCAAACCCACACAGGGGAGGCGCATGGTGCCGTTTTGGAGCTGGAGATTTTTTTGCTTCCAGCGTTCCCAATCCCTACTCTCTGGGAGTCCACCTTCGGTCAACAGGATGCTCTCAGCCAATCACAAGCCGTGTTGTATTTGACCGAGCCAATCAGGGGCGAGTTTGCAAAAAGTAAGCTGCGTTGGTAAAAAGTGGTGTTTTTTTGCCGTTTCAACTGGAGTTTAATGTGGGGAGAAAACGTTCCCTGTCTGCCGGACGACGAAGTGGAAGTAATAAAGTCACATTTATGTTATGTTCTAGCCTTTCAACAATTCAACCCGCTTTCGTATCATATAAACAACAAGGCAGAACGAGCAGTCACATGTCCTGGTTCAAAGTGAGGTCGAGAAGGGCTGGCATGTGGATGGCAGTGGATGAGGAATGTGAGTTCACACAACATATAATCTCTGCTCTCATTTTGCTGCCATACTCCCCAAGGCAGATCATTCAAATCAATTGCCCCACAACGACAGTGCTTTACACACAACCTTGAACAGATTGTAGAATAAGTGCTCAGATTGTCAGAGGTCTGACAAATGTCCCTTTTATTCCCCTCCACCATAAGGGACCACCTGTTCTTGGGATTGGCAGCTTTTGTTGCAGAGGTCAGTTTTGGGAGGAGACTTTCACAAAGCTGTCCTGTCCAGCCAGTTCAACTTTCAGCAGTAGGAAAACAACTTGTAAATTGAGGTCCAATTCCATTTGTACCTGACAGACAAAACATCTTTGAACTGCTTTCCCAAAAAGTGCTAAAAAATATATCCTCAATATCCTCATGAAACATAAACAGGTTTTGTTTATTGCACTTTATATTTGTTCAGCATACTTGAATTCATATCTCTCCATTATTGTCCTACATAGTTATTGTACTATATGTTTGTAAATTGTGCGTTCTTTTGGCCAGGGAAACACAATTTCACTCAACGATGTACTACATCTGTAGGCTACTAGATGGATGACAATAAAGTCATCCATAAAGAGTTTTTCCATAAGTTCTATTTTTACTTCACTTCATATCAAAAGGAACTTGTTTTGTTATTCCACTACATTGATTTGACAGCTATAGCCTTTTTGTTTTGTTTTGCAGGATTTCAAACACAAAACAGTGAGACCCTGCAATCCAACACATTGTTTTTCATGCATTGGTCCGTTTTGAGAGTTGTTGCTATTTTGCTTCCACAACACGTTTTTGCAGTCCGGTGGAATGAAACCATCCGAAGTATACATTAAAGGTCACCTATTATGCAAAATCCACTTGTTCATGTCTTTTATACAGAAACATGTGTCCCCTCTGTGTAAAGAGATTCTGAAAGTTTCAGAAAAAAAGATTTGCTCACTTTTTGTCCTGATCCATTTATATAAAAACCTGTCTGAAAATGAGCTGATCAGATTTTGGCCACTTTATGATCTCATAACGATGTTTTGGCTTGTGTAACCATTAGCCAGTAACATCCACCCACCTCATCACCTGAATCTCCTCCTAGAACCAAATATCTCTCAGAGGGGCGTTGGGAGTGGCATCTTATTTTCATCTAAAGTAAAAGACAGAGAATCAGCACTTTTGAAACAGGGCTGAAACAGAGGGGTTTATGGGATGCTACAATGCATGATCTGTTTGGTATTTCGAGCCAAACACTTCAGAGACATGTTTTGTATATATCTGAGACCTATAATATATTGATGAAAAACAGTATAATAGGGGACCTTTAAGGTGTTTATTTGACTACACTTTATCCATTTTTTTCTGCAGATTTCTCCTTGATTCACCAAAAGTTAGCATTAGATTATTCTTCTTTTGCATATTTGATCATAACAATTCTTACAAAAGGAATTGTAAAGTATAAGTAATAACTAGGGAAGTAACATGGGGTTGTTTAGAAGCTAAGAATGTTGCCCTCTTCACCAGTGTCTCCCTGACAGGTTTTTAGCCAAGGACCTTTATTTATAAAAGAGTATTTAATGTCTGTTATTGCTATTTTTACTCAAGTAATGAATCTGAAGACCTTTTCCTGTGAAGACTTACAAGTATTGACTAAAACGTAGGCTGTTAATAATGTAATACTATTAGGGTACTTCATATTTTCCTTAGTTATTAGGGCCTAATTCAGGTCAGAGTCAATTCACTACAATCCCCAGCCTGAGTCCATGAAAAGTACTGTTTTGTTTTTTTAGGCACATTGTGTTCCCTGCTTAAAGTCTGGGGAGTCATATGTCAGGTGTGTACAAAGAGCACTGCAGCTCAACACAACCATTCTATTTTTTTAATTAAAGAATTTCTAACCTCAATCTTCAGGATGCAACTGTTGGCAAGTCTTAAAATGAAAAAGATGCAATAATACACCAGTTAACAAAAGGTTAAGGAGTTTAAGAGCACTCCTCAATGAGCTAGTTTCCCTTGTCTTCACTAGTATGTAAAACATCCCAGCAACTCAGTAATATGATGTAGCACAAACATACATATTTAAATCACACAATTTAATATGTTTTGGTATATCACTAGCCTAAAAAAAACTTATGAGGTAGCCAGCCAAGACCTCACTTAAAACAAATTGTATTAATATATGTAGTGCATTATTTTAAGTCCGATAATGGGATAATATTAAACTGATAAATGACAAAGAAAATGTTTGAAATACTTTACTTGCATGTTATATTATAAAAGGAAATACAGAAATTAGATCACTATTACACTACATCTCAGTTTTAAAGTAGTATTACACTCAGTGTTTGCCCAGCATTAAAGGTGACAGCAGGAGAACTACAGTACCTAATGAAATACCAGACAGGCAATGTACACGTTAATAACATGTTAAAATATATCCCTAATTTCTTATTAAAACTCTGTTTCTGTCATTTTAAAAGAAGCTTTCCTTTGTTACCACACACTGACTTTAGAAAATGTATCACATTCATACAGGTCATGATTATCAAGTCTTTACAATGCATACAAGAAGCAAAGTTAAGATGAAATTTGCGTTAAAGTCAAACAAACTATGGCACAAAGTTGAGATTAAATTTGTGTTAAAGTCAAACAAACTATGGCACAAAGTTAAGATGAAATTTGCGTTAAAGTCAAACAAACTATGGCACAAAGTTGAGATGAAATTTGTGTTAAAGTCAAACAAACTATGGCACACAGTTTCCTTGCATTTCAATTATCAATACAGATAACTTCTGTAAACATTAAGAATGAAATGGCTACTTTAAAAGCAAAGTACACCATGTACTTGCTTTGATAAAATTACCAGATAAACGTCAGTGTCTATTGTTAAAACACATTTCATAGAAGGAATGTTAAAACAAATCAGGGGATGCTTGAGATCAAATGTCACGATAGCAGCTGTAAGTGAATGGCATCCCAGGGAAAATGTTCAGGCTTGCTGTTAGATGATCTGACGGTGGCCTCCTTTTGCAGTCCTTTTTTTAAATCTTGTATTTTGTTTTCCCACTTTCACTGATCACACAGATATGCTGAAAAAAAAGGAGAAATAGAACTCAGTACAAACCTATTTTTATTTAATGATGTAAGAAGGGGTGTTGTTCCCTTCTTCATGATTAGATTAAGATTACTCTGATAACATTTGACTTCAAATGTATTCTCGATTAAAACAATTTTGGGATCTATTCTGCACTAATAAAAGGTGCTTTGGCAAATTATGGTAAGAAAGCTGAGGTCAGGGTGTACAAGATTACGGAGTTTTCTCATTGGATTTCAATAATCTAACACACAAAGGTAAAACTATGACAAAAGGTGACATTCATGCTTATGTTGCTATTAGACAAATATAAACAGTTTTACTGAAATAAAATCTTAGTATTTCTAGATTCTCAATAACTTTATAAACAACAAGTTCTTAAAAATGCTGCCTGTTAAATCAATACAATTGGTAGGATTGGGGAACTTGCAACCAGTGTTATGAGTGATTTTTCAAAAAATCTGTTATTTCACAACATTTGGAGTTATTTAGGATTACTGTTCATGTCAGCAATAATCAGGTCCTTTTTTTGGATTTCTTTTTTCTAAAAGTGGTTTTGGAAAATAATATTCTCACTTGTAACGTTAATCCAGCCACTCCCTCAATGGTTAATGTTACTAGACAGTCATAATGACTTCTTTCACTAAAGAGTCATTGTTGTCTATAATTTAAAAAACAGCACCAACTCACATTTAGATCTCTAAAATACTCATTGTAGTCTAAGGCATATCCAACCACAAACCGATCAGGTATCTCAAAGCCGACATCTGAAATCAAAAGACAAAGTGGAATATTAATAGAAAATATTTCCATGGTCCAAAGACTCACTGACTAACAATCTGCAACGACTGTTTTAAGTGAGAATAAACCCATGAACACATAAAAGGGCTGGTCAGATACGTACAGTCAGGAAGACATGTTGAGTTATGTGGCACTCTCTTAACCAGCAATCTGGGAGGGAAAAAAAGCAGACATTATCATGAGATATCTCTTTCTAACTGTTAGGTTTAAATTTAAGAGTAGTAACCTGCATCACTTATTCTTTCTTTGTCTCCCTCTTTCTGTCTAGACTGGAAGGCGGATGTTGAGTGATTCACAAAGAGGAAAACTGTGCTAGTTTGGTTTTGAGGTCTTTAGAGTATAACTTACCCTGCTACTTTGATCAATTTGGGACTGAAGGATTCAACATACTTCAGGAGAGCCTTCATTGTCTTTCCGGTGCCCACAATGGCCTGTAAAGGAAAAGTTTAAAAAAAACTGGATTGAGAAAGCAAGAGCTTGCCAAGAAGTAAATGCAGATGAAAAAACAGACTTATTTTTACACTGCAGTACAAGTGAAAAGGAAAAGGTTGGTCAGACTGTACTTGTATTACATAACGGTTTATGAGCATTCTCTAAAATAACTTTACTTACACTTGAAAAAGAGGAATTTAAAACCAACATGTGATATTTGACACACAAACGCCTCTGTTGTCATGTAAATGTAGGTCAACAAGCCCTTCATATAGAAAGGATTGTCCCAACACACTTATGCTAAACATTTATTTTCACTTGTGACAGGATATGAGTGTAAAAACAGGTGGAAAGAGCACTAGATTATCCTGTTACTCATGTAGATGTGTTCATAATTTATAGTAGAACTATTGAAAAGGTAATCAAAACAATAGCAACTTTAAAAAATAAAATAAAGTATAAGACAATAACTGCAGGGCCATATTCACAAATGCTTAAGCACTGACTAATGACCATTGTTTCAAAATGCTGCAATGTCTACATAAAGAGAGTAACCATGACTCAGTGACCACAACGATGGCCTTCCTGTAAATGTCATTATTTCTCCTTCAAGGCTAACAAGAGTAGGTTTATGATCATATTTCCCAAATATAGGTCAGCCAACTTCAAAAGTTTCCTGAAGTTGAACTCAGGTCCTGTAAAGAGAATATGAGACTTTTAAGTGCCTTGACCTGGATAACCATCCAGGCTATGAAAACAACAGGCTTATTTGGTGGAGAAGAAAAACAGAGGAGCATAAACACGGTTGACTTACCTCCACAATCAGTACGTTCTTATGAGAGCATTTTGGGAAGAGAAGAGAGAGCAGAACAAACCATTATTCTTGGTTTGGAACAGAAATAAAACTGATTATCTTCATGTTAACCACACAAACAATGGTCATCTAAAAAGCAAAAAATAAACAATTACAGCTGAAAAAAAGAGGCAAGTAGTTTTCAATACTGTACTGCTTTGTTTGAAAAGCAACACAAATTTAAATTGTAATTTTGTAAAAGGAAATTAACATCTTTAAGCTTATTTTTTCTGGGAATAAGTAACAGCATAAGTGTTGAAACGTGGGCAATAACCATCCGTATTTGTTAATGCAGACCCTAAATCAGTAAGGGATAAAATAATCTATGGAAAATGTCCCTACAGTCGTTTAAATGCCACACTGAAATAGCTGAGATTCTGCAAATGTTTGACTAATTGGCTGAAGACAACTGGGCACTATTTATACTGACAATCAAAACTAAAGCTTCAGTTAACTCAGATAGGTCACAATTATAAAAAACAACTTAAACTGCCGTGTCATTGTCTACTTTACAAACAAAGGATTCAGCCAAGCATGCAGTCGTGCTTTGTTTAGGACTCATTATTCATACAGATTTATTTTGGAATGCAGTAAACCCTGGAGAAATGTAAAGGAATAAGTGATTTATTAAAAAGGTGAGCCACTGTCTGTCATATGCACTGTAGGGAGGATAAGGCATAAAATGAACTATGTAATATGTTCCTTGTCACACAATTGGTTTATCTCTTCCAGCAAACCATCGCAGCACTCTGTTACAAAAAGGTGACTAAATTTAGCCGTACATCACAGGGAGCTCAGGGATTTCACAAGCACACTTTAAATACTGAGAGCGAAGCAGCCGGCAGTGACTCAAGCTCACTACCTCACATCCTTTTCTTGTTGCCACGCCTGGCCATAGGGCATTTAGTGTGTGCGTGTGAGTGTGCGCTTAGCTAAGGGAGGTGCGTGTTTAGATCAGCTGATTTATATTAGCTAAAAATACTTTTGACTCCTGTAGTAGTAGTTAAGTAATCCATGACACGCACCACACGTGGGGAGAAAAATATCTTTAAAAAAACAACAATGAACTAACTATTTTGAAACTTGATTGATTGTTTAGGTTATTTTTCAGAACAAAAGGCTAGACTGTGAATCCAGCTTCTTAAATGGCAGGACTTGCTGCTCTTTTCCGTTTTATGTGAAACTAAAATATATGTTTGTGAGACAAAACTAGCAATTTCCAGTCGTAGTTTCAATTGTTATGTTCATACCACCCATATCCAAGTGCGTATTTCTTGACGTAGTGTGCATGAGTTACAGAGGAAAAACTATAATTCACTTGAAAATAGGCAAAGAAAGGAAATAAGTTGTCTGTCAGAATATTGGCTTCTCTTATTTCCATCCCCAGAAATGACTGTGACCATCCATAGTTTTGAAATTAGTCTGTACATTTCACTTAAAGTTAAAAGTATACACAGATATACACATATACAGATCTGGTGACACTACACAGTCACACACACACACCTACTCGAGCCCAGTGATGTACTACGTTTGAGTTCATGATAACAAGACAAGCAAATAAAGAGTGAGCCTGTAGCAACAATGATAGCAAGTTTATCCCCCCATTTACACAGATGCTACCCTTTGCTTCCACTGAGATCAAGTGAAGGAGGCCTTTAAACAATTACATTAGAACAATTGGTATCTGATGGCTGCTGGGTTTGTCAGAAACTGCCATCTTTGATCTCCGTCACGGAAGCACTGAACCATTTCCTCAGGATGGAGGGGGAGATAGCAGATGAGAGGGAAGGCTGCCCTCTTCAGGCTGACTTCTCTCAATACTCTGCATTTTCATGCCACTTGTAAAGAGTTTTTATTGGAATAGAGCTTATCATTATGTTTCACTGGACTCAAATGTAGTTCTTTATCTAAGTTGGGCTGGTTTTTTTAATGGTGTAGATGAGAAAATTACCTTTCCAGCTAAAAAAGACAAATCCTCTGCTCCGACTATGTGAAGATCCTCTGTTGACTGATCATTCTGAGGGATTCAAAATATAGAAAATCAACAAGTTAGTTAAATGAACGTTGGATATCCTATTTAAAAACAAACCATCATTGTCAGGTACAACAGATTTTTTTACGAGCCTATATTATTCATTCGTTTTTCTTAAGATTCATGGACACAAATCAGAATCAGTTTTATTACCAAGTACGTTTACACATATGAGGAATTTGCTTTGGTATAAGTGGTGCACAGAGACACCGAAAGAAGAATACGCAATCTTAGCTTGAATTATTTGACCAATTTAAGGTGTACTTGTATGTTATCTCACACGGGCAAATGCATATCACCTGTATAATTTCAAAATCTATGGTATTTTTCTGCTTTGCTTGTGATGCTGTAGCTACATGAGGCACATTTAAAGCAAAGTTACACAAAGGTACCAGTGTCATAATGTATTAAATATAACACACATCTTCTGACTATGTCATGGGACATATTCATTCAGTTTTCATACGTCCCTTAGCGTCAGAGTGCTGTTTGTGTCGCTTTGAGCAGGAGCTCACCAGGTAGCTCTTGAGTCGGATGAAGTGGACCCTCATGGGGAGGGTGCGGTTGGAGTTGCGGCTGAGGACCTTGATCTTGTCCACCAGGTCGACACAGAACTGGTAGCCTCCTTTCAGCACACACAGCACCACGATGTCATGGTCCCCCAGGTCATCCATGATGTTTCGAGCCAGACGTTCTGTCCTGTAAACAACGTGACACTCTAGCAAGCCATTTAATCTGTCTGGGACATTATCCAGCAGGCTGTCAATAAGGTCAATAAGGTGTCTTTGGTAGGTTTGGGTTTAAGGACTTGTTGCTTTGACAGCATTTTAGATATAATTATATCAGATTATATTATATCCAGACTTGTCTCGTCAACATCAGGCACGTGCATACAAAGTGGGCTTAAGCCCCTGCCCTTTTTCTTCCACCAGAGAAAGTGCCCTTTTTTTAATAAATTAATATATATCTACTGCTGTTTGCGCAGTTTCCCTTTCCAAAAATATATTGATTGAATACAAAATAAAAACATCAGGTCGGGAGATTAGACTGTGAAGTTCCGATGCTCTCTCTACCCTCCCTCCCCCCGTCTCCTGCACAGCGGTGCAGACAGTCATCGGCAGTCACTTCAGACAGACAGGTGTAAGCACCTCCCACTTTACAGTCCCACTTTATGCCGGCTTTTCTTGGCTTATGATGAACAAATTACTAAACTGCCAGTGCCTCGAGTTTACAGCTAATAAGCTAAAAGACAATAATAATTATAGTTAACTAAGGCTACTAGCTAATGGATAAGTTAGCTCAAGGTTTAGCTAAGGTAATTTATCATGGGCATACAGGCTGATGTACTGTACTTAAAGTGGACCTATCATGCTATATTTGAAAAATATATTGTAGGGCCATACCTATATAAAACATGTCTGTGAATTTTTTTTTTCAAAATACCAAACAGATCACCCATTGTAGCCATGCCTCATACTGCTCATACCCCTCTTTTGCAGCCCTGTTATGGCGCATTTCCACCATGGCGCGGAGCGCGGTTTAAGCGTGCCGTGTCGTGCCGGGCCCGTTTTTGGTTGCGTTTCCACTAGGCCTAGTTCCGGCCCGGGGGTACTTTTTCACCTCTTTTCTGGCCCGACAAAATCGTGGTTCTATCGGGGCCAACAAACAGGGCTGAGTCGGGCTGAGTTTGCTAAACTAGAGAGAGAATCGCTGGCAAGGGGGCTACAACAACAACAAGATGAACATATTTGACCGTGATTTAATTGTAATACACGTTTCAAAATGATGCTGAAGTAACAACATACTGATACCGGTTAGTAAAAACCATGAATTAATGCTTTGACAAGTCTGCAGACAGACGGCAGGCGAAAAACCTTTTAAAATGCGTGTTTTCTAAATGGAGATTGGCTAAGCTAACGTTGTATATGCTCCGTCCGTCCACACTCACAACAACGGCCTATACAGACATAAATAAAGCAGCGACTGTATTCACCATGACACAGACAGTCTGTGGTTTGTACTTGTTTAACTTTTGTCTAGTTTCTGAACAGATATGAGGAGCTGTGAGCTCTGAGTGCTAACAGCTAACGGCTGTGTTGTTTTTCTGGGGTTCTCATTGAAGATGACGTCACGGCTCCGCCTACACTGCGTTACTATAGATACTACCCCAGTTCCTAAACTGTAATGGAAGCGCAGCATGAAGTGAGCCGGCCCTAACGAGGCCCAACGCAGCCTAGCCATACCGAGCGAGGCCGACCGTGTGGTGGAAATGCGCCATAAGAGAAACGCAGATTTTGGGTCCTTAGCTTGAAAAAAATAAATAAGAGGAGGTGGAGCTAATGCCTGATCAGAATTCTACCAGAGATAAAAGGTAAATTCGGTTGTGATAAAACGCCATCCTGTTTAAACCACGTCAAGGATTATTTCTGAAATAGTATGGAGCTCAAATGCTTTTTCTCTTGCAGGTTTATCACAAGGTGAGTTCTTTTTTTAATTTCCTGCTTTTTAAACACATGTGCTCTTCAGTACAGGTTAGCTCTGAGTGTTAGCGAGGCTTGCTAATGTAAACAAAGACGTCCAAAACACGTCAGGCATTGTTTCTGATGGCAACTTTCTGTGGGTCCGCCGACGTCACCTCGGATGGACACGTCAGTTCGGATGGAAATCTGTATCCGCTCGTTGTACACCCGTTTTTAAAAGATTTGGGTACGGAGGAAAAGAGAGAGGGTTTTATTTTCTGATGCTGCGTGAGTTCCCCGACGCACCGGGGACACATATTTATGTATACAAGACATCACAAAGTGCATTTTGCATGATAGGTCCCCTTTAAGGGGGGACACTTAAAGTGAATACAGTAAAATGTGTATCTAATAACGTCATCACAATCGCCACATTGATATGCAAATTAGGCGTTAACTAGGCCTAATTAAAATGCGCTAATTTGCATGCAGTTACCAAGGCATTGCAGGTGAAAAGGATCAAACTAATGCCATATGCACACGGGAACGTTTGCGTTTATGCACAGTATGCGCTTTCAAAAAAGTCTTCCGTTCACATGCATTCGTTTCATTTAACGTGTCTGTTCAAACGAGACCGCTGGAAACGCTGTAGTACATATGCCGGGACTGTAAGTGGCGCTGTACTTCCACACGAGACCGCTCGAAAGCGCTGGACACGCTGTAGTACATATGCCGGGACTGTAAGTGGCGCTGTAACTTCCGCCACAAAATACACCAAAAGCAGCAAAGAAGACCCCGGAGCAATGTTGCCATGGCTACCCTTCTGTTTATGCCCCGCGGTGGATTTAGCAACAGTAGTTCATGTAATTCTCCATGTCCACTTGTTGCTGATGGTTGTGGTAGAGGAGCTGTAGATTTTGCACTAACATCTGTAGCATGGTCGAGCTGTAGATGTTGTACTAACATCTGTAGCATGGTCAGTAGCAGTAGCACTAGCAGTAGCTACTGACAGTAGCTACTGGCCATGCTACAGCAGTGAGCAGCAGAGGCGGGGAGAGGTGGGGCTATCGTTATTTTTTCAGGAAATATTCGTATAGAGGCGATTACACGGACTCGTTTGACCCCCCAGAGAGTTTCGTTTGCAAATCTATCCACCTTGGGACCCGTTATCGTTTGTGGGGTCCGTTTCTATTGGCCTCGTGTAAATAATAGGGCTATACGTAAGAGAAACTATGCAGATACAAGCCGTTTTGTCCTCGTGTAAACGGCACCTAAAAAACACATCACCTCACAACTTCCCCAGATAGTTACTTACGTCAAGTCAGTATTTTCCCCTGAAATGTTATGTTTAAATGCAGATTAGCTTTAAATCTATAGATGAATTCAGACATGGTAGTAAAACGAACACCATTTATATGTGTTTCTTTTATTTCCATTAGAGTGAAAGAAAACATGGAAGCAAAATAGACCAAAATAACAAGTACATGAAAAAACGATCTTTTTGCCTGTAATGTCCTTAAACAGTAACTTCATAATTTTGTTGGCTGCTCATTTAATAACTATTAATTGTACTAGTTTGTTGTCTGCTCTTGTGCTTAGTGAATACTAAAGAAGACCATTGTCTCTGTGTTAAGGCCCCTACACACCAGGCCGATATCGGCCGTCTTGCGTTGTTGGGCGAAAACGGGTTCCTTGTCGCCCAAAGACAATTTGGTGTGTCCCGAACCCTCGGCCGTGACACGCCTTATTTGGCCTTTCACGATCGACACCCGGCCGATTCAACATGTTGAATCGGCCAGGTGTTGGACACAAGCTATCGGGCCAAGAAACCACTCTGATCAGCTGTTCAGCTAGCAAATGAGAAGCGAAACGGAAGTGAGGGACGTAAACAAACGATTTAAATGTCCTCTCTTACCTCCCACACATAGCAGGGACATCTCTGATATCGGCGGGAGCGTCCCCGGCTGTCCTCTGCTGAGAGCTCCGTGATTTGTTTGGTCAAGTCCGGTTTTTCATCTCATCGTAAATTTAGCAAGAAGTGGCCATTATTACATTGCTGACTCAATAAACTACACACCCGCCAGAACACTGCGATCATCAGATGCAGGTCTATTAACTGTGATTTTATAGTATGTCTGCACTTTATGTGCTCATTTCATCATGCATGTATTTTTATATTCTAAAACATGTTTTCGTTGGACGAGAGTGAAAATGGAATGGCACCCGTAATTTGTTTGTATATCAGTCTGTTCTTCTTCTCTGTCTTCCGGTTGTTGCCTATTTTGAATGACGAATACACACTACCGCCGCCTGCTGGTAAGGAGAGTTATTGCCACTCACGCATGCGCAGTTCGTACGTGCTCGGCTGTAGTAAAGCGGTGTATTTCAGTGCGACACACGGCCAATACGCAGGAGAACTCGTCGATGGATCTGTCGGTGTCGGATGTCGGCGAGTTCTCTGGTGACTGCCTGGTGTGTCAGGGCCTTTAGCTGATTATTTTGTAGAATTCTGTTGAGTATTAACCTGTTAAGCCCTGAGCCTGTTTTTCAGGTCTCAGGCTCGAAAATGACATTCCCAGAACAAATGACCATATCTTCACTTCTAAAAGGGTTAAATTAATAATCTTTTTTCTCAAAGTAATGATAAACCTGTGAGTTGGATGTAGAAAAGTCAGAATCAATATAGATGTTTTTTATTTTAAAGAAAATTCAGATTTTACATAGTAAAAAACTGTAAATGATAGTGCCCGTCCAAAAATGATTTTTTACTTATAGTGAAGACTACCCTTGGATGATGGTAAGGTAGACTAAAAGCTTTAGGAATCCAAAGTACAACATATAATAAGTACCCTGTATCAAGATTGATGCAAAACAAGTGACATTTGACTTTTTTAGAGAGATTTAGCAAAAAGAAACCACTTCTGGGGTCATTTGGGTGGATTTTCCATATCTCTGGCCCCCCTTGCTCGATTTTGATGGTTGACACCTCTTTCTGACCGTTAGAGCCAATAGAATCGAAGGGGGAGTCCCCCACACACACTCATTGTGAAGAGAAAAGGTGCGGGCTTCGCGCATGCAGTTTTGCATTAGAGTGAAGCTACATTCTAGCTCTGACACCTAGAAACGGAATAGCATGGATTATCCGTTTTATTGGTCATGGATTATCAGAAATATTTTCAAAGGTGTTTAGATTCCTGTTTGTAAGTAAACATGCTATCTCAAAAACAGTAGCACATTTCATTGGAATTTGGTGAAAGGTTAGGCTACAAGTAAACATTTCTGGACTATCAGAACTATTTTAATACAGCGGCGCAATTTCTGAAGAATGTATGCTTTTCTTTTGTCATAATGAGGATGATACACTACACATATTTGAGTTTTGGACTGTTGGTCAACTAAAAAGACACTTGAAGATGTCACAACAATCCAAGTTATCATAAATGTAATGTTTCACTATTTACTGATGTTCCATAGTCAGAATAATATTTTGGCAGCTAATTCTTCATAGATTTAGAACAAATAAAATCACTGCATTCGTCACTATTTACAAAAATAATTTCTTCATCAACACAAAGACTTATACTGCCTTTGACTAAAAAGTATTCTGACACTTGTCATATTTCTTTATCACTGTATTGTGATGTAGATCAAGATTCAGGTCCACATTAATGTCTTCCATCAAAATCATAGACTTTAGAAATGTATGTGATATATCTATCATGATGCTTTATAATTTTCTGCTGGTGCGTTGTTTTTGGTTTTGTGTGACAGACAGTGATAATTTTATAGACATAGTGACCAAATCACAACAGTTGAAAACAGCACCATGTTTCTCTCAGCATTTTCAAAAGCAAGTATAGTTTGAGCCACCTCACAGCAGAAACACTTGGGAGGCTCAAAGGTTTTTGTTACAATGGCAGCAGAAGAGGGGTTTTGGGGCTGTACCTGTCCATAATGACACCATGTGGAACGACGACACAGTCTAAATCTCCGGAGTAGTGAGCCGGATAGCTGAAGAGATCTAAACTGTAGCCTGGCCAGTCATCGTCAATCTGCGAGCAAAAACATCAACTCAAATCATCATACTGCTTCACTGTTGATCGTTTAAAAGTTGCAAAACACCAAACGACTTGTATCACCAAAAGTTGCACGAACACACATGCGGGCAATACATTTACAAGGTGTGCAAAGTTGCCTGAATTTGTAAAAACTGCCTGAGCATCAATGGAAACTTTCCCCTGCGCTGTAGAACGCCATGCTTTCGTGTTTTCTCGTTTTAATTTACCACAATCCCGCCGCCTCCTCCGACTTGTGGTTGTTTGACGACAACGTCTGCCATGTTGTTTTCGTGTTGACCAAAAAAAAGTCTCTAGTTTGAGGAAAGTGGTGGTGCAAGAGGCTTTGGGGGGAGGTTTTGGCACAGTGCGGAGAGAGGAGGAGTAAAGGGAGGAGGAATGTTTGCATCCCTCTGTGATGTGTTATACTGCTCTGCTGCCGCCAGGGGCAGCATAACACTGACCATCTCTATCAATCACATGGATGCTGCATTTAGACAACACACACTGCCTGTTAATGGCTTCATTAGCTATACTAAGCAGTGATGGTGGTAAAGTATCACAATGTTATTTGTATGCTTGAATACAATAATATGTAAGTAGTCCTTCATTCAACATTTACATGTTAAGTGTAAAAGTAGAACAATGTACGCTTTTATAAGAAAAAATTGAAAGACACAATAGTGGAAAGTACCTTAATATATTTAGGCCTACTCAAGTAGCCTACTGTAGGCTACCGCACAATTTTCAGGTAATTGTACTATACTTTGTTATGCTGCTTTATACTTATACTCTACTAAATGTAATTAACTGTACTCCACTACATGTATATGATAGCAATAGTTACCTTGCAGATTAATATCACAAAAATGTTCTCAACAAATACATTAATATGTATTATTATGGATACACAGATATACCTTAATTGATCACTTGGTGAAATTCCCAAGCTTAATCAGCCTCATTTTGCTCTGCAACATTAAAGTGATGTGCACACAATAACACAGTTAAAAATAACAAAGATAATAAAAGAAACAACAATGTAAAAGATACAAATAAATAAACATTTTGTATTCTTTTTTCGTTTAGCCTTTGTCAAATAGTGATGTCAAAGGATAAATGTAAGGTATTTGATCTGTTGTTAAAGGTTTGAGATTTATTTTCCTCACTTCACCTTCATCTGGTGAGTGTTTTTGAACAGTTGTGTTATCAACGCCACCCTGTGGAGAGGGACGCTCTTGTCTTTTTTCACACTGCTTTTGTTCTAATCAAATCTTTTAGTTGGTAATCTGATGCAATAATTCATTTTCTTTATTCATACACCCTCTTGAACATTCTCAAACAATGACTCATTTAATGTGCCTTAACAAGAGAAAAGAAAAGACTTGACGGTCTGTAATTAAGGAGCTCCAGATGCCACACCCTGTCTCTGTGCACAATATAATTGGTGTCTTTGAGACAGAGTGTAAATGAGTGAATTTAGGACGAAGCATCCAGGGACTCGTCGTGTGGTCAGTCAGTCCGGCAGCAGCAGCGGGGTCCGGGCTGTTGTGTCACTGCACATTAGAGCAGTCTGCTGGGCTCTGCGAGAGGGGGGAGACAAGGTGTCTGAGCCTCCCTCCCATGCTCCTCTTCGGCAGCTGTAATTATAAACAGTGGTACAATGACAGCTGGGGAGGCAGATGTCAACACCAACATTAGATTTCAATCAGCCTGCACAGTGTCACCACCCCTAGGGAATGAGGAGGTGTAAAACCTACGCTGCATGACAACATCCCTAAAAAAATAACAGAAAAACCTCTGCACATCTTATTATATTTTTATGTTAGAGATGATAATGGAGAAGTCTTGATGTTGTGATCATCATGCTGATGAGCGTCTGAGTGCAGCCAGAGGATGTTTTTGGATGAAGTCTTGTCAGATTGTTTTTGATGCCCTCTCTGTTGGTGAGAGCAGGCCGGCTCCTTCGCTGCCCTCCAGGCGCAGAGAGCAGTCTGGCTTTGGCATTTCACACTCGCTCAGCAGTCAAGGCCTGTGACCGTCCGCAGACTTTACAACCAACTGCTCCCTCATACCCTGGCCCCTGTTGTTGGGCCAATTATGAATATTCAGTTGCTATGAAAGTAATTCTGTCAGACATGCAACTGTCCAGCCAGATAGTGTCAGTGGTATTGTTTGTAGTATTTGTAGGGAGGCTCTCTCAAGGACGTGACCGTGACCGTCAGATTTTGGATTATGTATGATGACAAAAACTGAGAGTAAGATGACCTAAATGCAATATGTTGCATTTAGGTCATCTTTTGATGTTAGTTTGTTTATTTTGTATTCCTCTGCAAGATTGACCTCCATTGTATTCAAAAAACTATAAACACATCAATAAACCCCATTCATGGTTGTAAAATGCAATATTTAGGCTTATTTTGGTGGTATTTCCTTAAAAACTGCACACACTCTGAACCACACATTTGTACCTGTCTTTATAGACTTACATCTTTACGAAAAATAAATTGGTGTGGGGTTGAGTGGTGAAGAAAAGTCAAATAAAAGGTATTGAGGGACAAACCACTACATTTTAGTCAATTGTTGGTGGTTTCATGGATTTTGTCAACATAATAACTTCAACACTATAGGTATACATTGATAATAATAATACATGGGATTTTTATAGCACTTTTCCTAATGCTCAAAGATGCATGTATTTGTTCTTATAAAATATTACATTTTCAGAAAACATGAATTTGAATAGATTTGTTTGTTGTATTATTGCTGATGTTTCTCCAATGTTTCTAAAAATTGGTTTTGGTATAGTGTGTAGACTAATATGTGGATAAGGAGCCATAATAGCAGGCAGGGAACACGCAGAGCCATAAAAGACTTTATGTCTACCAGCAGTCACTAACCTTGGTTGACAGTGACTGTGATTACCGTCTGATGCCTCTGTCTGATGCTGAGAAAAATAAAGAGTCTTTGCTCTCTTGTAAATTCCACAATAAAACGAAATGCTGAAGTATAATCTTGATGTATTACATATCATTTTTAATGTGTTGAAAACTCTTTCCAACAAAGCAAGTCAAGCACAATGAAGCACATAAACACATGATGAAAGTTCATGAGCTAATTCACGAGAGAAGTAAAGCAAAACAAACAAAGTAATAGTCTACATTTAGCATACCATTAAAAAATAACAAAATACAAAAAACAAATAGGCCACACAACATAAAAGTGTCTATAAACAAAGTTAGACTGCTCAGAAGACACATTATTTGACATGACTTATCCCTTATTTAGTGCTTAATGGGAAACATTTACAATGTTCATAGATGTTTGATACTGAAATAAATCAGTTTAATGGTACTGAGACAAGCATGAATTCAAATATCTACCTTTGTTTTGGTCTCAATTCTAGGGTTACTTAAGCAGTACCAGCAGAGTCATATATGTACTTGCTTTCTATGTAAATAAACGCCCAGAAGAGGACACCATTCATTAAAACGAGAAACATAATATTATATCGTCATCAGAGCAGGAGAGCAGCAGTTCAGGTACGTCCAGATGTTTTTTTCATGGCATTGATCGGTGGCTCCATGCTGAAGCATTTCTGGACCTGTGCTGTAGATTCAGGAGCAAGGATCCACCGTAAAACTATTAACATAATGACTTCCCTGTTTAAGTGGATTGTGGCTATGTATTGTAAAACAAACTCAGTTACAGACGCTCTTGACAAACTTTCTCTTCCGTAGAAAGTGATATTTCTTCTCGTATTTCTTTCTAAGGGACAGTGTTATTCAATTGGTTGTAGCACCAGAGCTACATGACAGAAGATAGTCATTAGGATGAGAAGAAAAAGACATAATGCTGTATTTATTTGATGAGAGAATATATATTATAACTGACTCCATGATGACACACTTTTCTTGATGGTTTTGTTTTGGTCACATCAGCATTTTGGCATTGTCAAAAACTTCCGTAGTGGCGGTGGTGGAACACAATAGGAAATGTCATAAAGAATTCAAGTAAATCAAAAAAAGTGTTCTCCTTGTCCAGCATGAAGCAAAAATCCTGTTTTTCTCTTTGCATCAGTGAGTCCTGCATTTCTTTGACTGTCACTCTACCAATATGCTGCAGAACCAAAACCAACAGAGTGAAAAATATAGTTTTTAAGGTGATATATATTCTACATCTTAATGAATGATGTCAAGCTTGTCCGATTTTGATGACAATTATTTATTTATTGTTTTACAGATAACATACTTCACAGGGTTACCTTAGAGGTAAAATCTCCTGACAGAACTCTGTTTTGACTCTCCGGAGACAGAGGGGAAGATGAACATACTTTTATCAAGCACACATTGTAAACAACTGAGCAATATTTAAGTCTAAATGGCGTACCATAGAATAGGTGAGAGACAACAAAATGTAAGTAAGAAGATGTGCCCCTTGCTTGCAAAGACAAAAGTTTCATTTTTACAAAACAAATAATGGTCACTGACATATTTATTCTACTTTTTTTTAGTGGCTGAGAGGTAGAATGAAGTATTTTCAGTTAAAACCAATGATTTGATTTATTTACTTTATCATATCATTTCATCATAATGGGTGAAAACATTACAAGTGATAAGTAACTCCAGCCCTCTGAATATAATGTGAAATCTGTACAAGTCTCCATTGATTGGGGTATTGTTTTGATTTTTATTGTGAAACCTTTTGTTTGTATCCCAAATGTCCAACGTTATAAGCAGAGGAAATATTACTTTTTTCTGGTAAGGATTTCACAGTACCTCTCCAAACTGTGGGGCAGTGTATTCCTTTGTTTAATACTGTGAATAGCAACGTCAGTCCATGTTTTTTTTTGTAGATGAGGTGGAGCGATGGATATATTCAGTTGGAAGTATCCGAATGAACGCTTCCGGGTCCTTCTGTGGGCGAAGTCACTGACGAAGGAGTCGGAGCATCTTGCCAGCCACCATTTGTCTGTGGAGATAAGACAGGAAGTACTTAGCTTCATGGTATCACATTGTACTGTTTGATACCAGTTTGGCATACAAGTGTCTTTAAGGACAAGGTTGGCACTATCCTATATTTTTCTTTCTGGAAGCAAATCCTATGAACACCTAAACAAACAATGAAGTGATCCCAGTATTGCCTTCGTAGAGCCTGATTCATCTTATTTCTAGAAAACGATTAAAAACATATCAGTGAGTCACAATGCTGGGCTGTACGCCATTTTTTCTGACCAATAAAACAGACACTGTTGTTTGTTTTAAGTCATCCCACATAAGCTGTTCTTCTGCAGTGAATACTCACTAAAGCAGCAAATGTGTATCAATCCGCTAATGAAAATATTAACTATACCTTTAATTTTAATTCTCTTTTAGTACAAAA